ATCGTCGGCAAATCGAAGGTGAGTGATGTACTCGCCATTGATGTTGATACCGTATCCTTTCCAGTCCAGAAGCTTGAAAACATCTTCCAATGTAGCGGTAAAGAGTTTCGGGGATATGACGTCACCCTGTCTTACACGTCTCTGCAATTGGATAGGTTTCGTACTCTGGTTCTGTACTCGGATAGCCATCGTAGTCCTACTGTACAAGCACTTCAACACTTCGATATACCGACAGTCAACTTGGCATCGCTGAAGGGACTGCAGCACCGCCCAAATTTCGACGGAATCAAAGGCTTTCTCATAGTCCACATACGCCAGCAGTGCACTTGGCTGGAATGGTATAAACACTGCATTTTTAAAACGTGGCAGAGACTTTAAGGTCCCATATATCTGTAAGTTGGTTGATCTTTGTTTTAGTACAGGGGTCTTTCCTAGTGCTCTCAAGCGATCTACAGTACCCCTGTTTACAAGAATGGAGATAAATCAGACGTCAATAATTATAGGCCAATCTCTGTTTTGATTTCAATTTCAAAAATAATTGAGAAGTTCCCTAATAAGTGGCTGATTAATTATCTAAACAAATACAGTATTTTATCAGAATTTAAATACGGGTTTTGTAAAGGAATATCAACTCAAAACACAATTCTAGATTTGATCTCTATTATAGCTAAAGAAGTCGACAAGGGATACAGATGCCTTACGGTGTTTCAAGACCTAAAAATGGCCTTTGACACCGTTTCCATCTCCATTCTTGTAGACAGATTAGAGAGCATTGGCATCAGGGGGATTGTGCTCTGTCTTCTTAGCAGTTACCTTCATGGCAGAAGGCAAGCCATAAAATAGATAGCTTCATTAGTGACGAAGATACCGTTAAAATTGGTGTCCCCGAGGGAAATGTCCTTGGCCCAACTCCCTTTTTAATTTTTATCAATGAATTTTGTAACTTACAGGACGTCGGGGGAAGGATTTTCTCTTATGCGAATGATAACGCTATTGTCTTTACTGGCAAGACTTGAGATTTCGTACACCATCTGGCTGCATAGGGCTTAGCTTGTGTGGCGAAATTGCTGAAGGATATTGTCTTAACTTTAAATATCCAAAAACTAACTACATCTGTTTTACTCCCTATACATCGTCGCAACTAGGACATAATTTATTTATCAAAATCAACAGCAACCTAAATCTTGAAAATACCTTGTGTGAGTATCTGCTTACAAATAAAATGAAAGAAAATAAATACCTGGGCATCATCGTTGATCAAAGGCTTAGTTGGCACTCGCAGTTGGAAGCTGTTATAAATCGGATCAGACAGTTAATCTGGGTATTTATATCATCAACCCGGGAACGGTGACCTATATGTCTGTGGGACCGGGTGACTTGAAAAATTCGAATAACTTTTTCCCCCGCCGCCGATTTTTGTCGCGATTTTGAGTAGCTGCCTCATTTCCCCTCCCACACCGTCAGTTCACCCGGCAACGTCAGAGCAGGCGTACATTCCTAAGTTTTGGCGCCAGCCCGGTGCGGTACACAGGGGTCACCGAATATGTAAGTAAAACAGGTCAAATTGAATTATTGAATATTCGTTCTTTGTCTGATTTACGTACATTTTTTACTTACCTTTGTTATTTTTAAATCCTATAATCAGTAAGTTTATTGCATGATTTTATCAATTTTATTAAAATATCACAAAATTATTTTACCTTCTTTGAAATATAAACTTTGTTACAGTATGTCGTACGAAAGGGAACAGCATCGTCTAAAATCGCTTCTTCGTGAACTGCTTGATGACGACAGACCATCAATGTCTTCAGACAGTGAAGCTGGAAGTGACATCGAACTGGAGAATCCTTCACCAAACGACATACAGGATTCAAACAGCGAAGAGGAGCTAAGTGACCGAGAAGCTTCAGGTAACAACAGCGCCTTTTATTTAGGAAAGGATAAAAGTACGAAATGGAGCAAAGAACCTCACCACCAATCTGTCTGTACTAGAGGTTTCAATATAATAACTCAGTTACCAGGGCCTAAACGAGTTATATCTAGTGAAAAGGACCCTCTTGGAATTTGGAGAAACTTCTTTGACGATACTATAATTAAGATTATTGTCGAATATACCAACCAATATATTGCTTCCGTGAAAGATAATTATGCTAGAGAAACGTATGCAAAACAGACTGATTTCAACGAGGTATATTGCTTGATTGGTTTGCTTCTATTAGCCGGAGTGAAAAAATCGAATCACCTGAATGCTGAAGAGTTGTTTCGAACGGATGGTGGTTCAGTGGAAATATTTCGGCTTTCAATGTCTGCCCAGAGGTTTCAATTTCTTCTACGAACTTTGAGGTTTGATTATAGTACTGAACTAGACAAAACTTGCCACATTCGAGAGATATTCGAGAAATTTGTACAAAATTGTAAGGATAGTTACACTTTATCTGCTTTTGTGACAGTCGATGAAAAGTTAGAAGCTTTTCGCGGAAGGTGCTCATTTAGGCAATACATTCCGAATAAGCCAAATCCATATGGTATCAAAATTCAAGCTCTGTGTGACGCTAAAATGTTTTATACACTCAATTTGGAAATATATCCCGGAAAACAGCCAGATGCAGGCCCATACACTCAAGACAATTCTGGCTTGGCTGTGGTTCAAAGATTATGCGAGCCCATTTTCAATACTGGCCGCAACGTCACAACAGACAATTGGTATACCAGTATACCCTTATCTGTAGCATTGCTTGAGAAAGGTCTCACCACAGTCGGAACAATTCGGAAGAATAAGAAAGAAATTCCCCCTGACTTCAAAATATCGCGTGGTCGAATTGTGAACTCAAATATGTTTGGGTTTCGCGACAATATGGTTTTGGTTTCATATGTTCCAAAAGCAAGAAAAAACGTTCTCCTGATTAGCACAATGCACAATGATGCTAAAATTGATGCCGAAAGTCAAAAACCAGATATAATTTTGTGTTACAATGACACCAAGGGCGGCGTTGACGAGGTAGATCGTTTGTGTGCTAATTACAATTGTGCTCGAGGAAGAAGACGCTGGCCTATGGCAGTTTTTTATGCTATGCTCAATATCAGTACCATGCAGTCAGGTGATACACAGCTAACAAACAAAATTCCAAAATGAAACGTCGTCAGTTCATTGAGAATTTGGCTATGAAATTAATTGAATCCCACATAAGAGAACGACAGATGCACTTGCACCTGCCGCGGTCAATGAGACAAAGACTGTCTGAAATTTTGAAGATAGATGAGGTACCTGGAACGGCTGGTCCATCACGAAATGGCCGTTGCTTTGTATGTGGATGGAAAAAAAAAATAGAAAGACCAAATACACTTGCCACAAGTGCAAGAAACATTTGTGTCTTGAGCACGTAGTGCCTTATTGCAGTATTTGCTTGACTGAAGAATAGTGATTTTGAAAGAATTTTTTTTGTTATTTTTTGTTGGTAAGATGCCATTTTTTGTTTATTATAAGTAAGTTCCTAGAGTGTAAAAACTGATAAGACTGAATTAATTTTAAAAATATGTTGATTATTGAATTTTCAAACTTTTAAAATAGCTATGTGTAAAATCTAACTAATTTTATAGGGTCTATGTGAAGTTGTCTAATCATAAGAAAAAGTAAATAAACGAGGCTGTGATTAATAAAATGTTGTTGTTTTAATGTCAAATAATTTATAATTAATAAATAAAATTGTCAGTAAATAAAATATTTTGAAAAATCTTCCATTGAAAACCCCGGTGCGTGGGACCGGGATCACCGAAGATGTAAGTCAAATCGGCGTCACCGTTGGCGGGTTAAGGTTTAAATGCAGCAATGTCTAGAACTCTATTAAATAAAATTCACATAGCCTTAGCACAATCGATAATTTCCTATTGCATCCCAATCTGGGGACGACTTTTAGATCTGGAAAGAGCTCAGAGGTCTCTTATAAAGGTCATTTATTTCAAACCTTATAGATTCTCTACTAACACCCTATATTAGATTAATAAAATTCTCTCAGTTAGAAAGTATTATGTTCTTAACATCATCCTAAAATGTCATAAATCCCTACCGTTTAATGAATCCCTTCAAAAAAAAGAGAAGAACTGATATTGTGGCCCCTATACCTCTTGTACGTACTACATTTGCTATTAGAGAGTACCCATGTCAATCTGCTTTATATATAATAAATTTTAAAAAATACTTAAAATATATCCTATGCAATTAAATATATGCAAAAAAATGCATTGGTTGTATATAGTGACTTATGTGTATGTGACTTATGACGAGGTTGGAAATCTTTTAAATAAAATTGTCCAAAATCTATCTCACCAACATCTTATACATTTACAGGTAACAGCCTAACAGTATTCCGTTCATATATTATCAGTAAAATTTTAATTTGCAAGTATTATTGCACATACCATGTATGTTCGTTTGTGTGTGAAATGACCCAAGATGAAAAAATTGATATTTATTGCAGCCGCCATTTTGGATTTACATTTCGACAGCACTATCGGCTTCAACACCCTCGAAACCCATGAAAATGACGCCCAAGATGAAAAAATTGATATCTATTGCAGCCGCCATCTTGGATTTACATTTCGACAGCAATATCGGCTTCAAAACCCTCGAAAACCATGAAAATGACACCCATGATGAAAAAATTTATACCTATTGCAGCTGCCATCTTGGATTTACATTTCGACAGCACTATCGGCTTCAGCACCCTCGAAAACCATGAAAATGACACCCATGATGAAAAATTTGATATCTATTGCGGCCGCCATCTTGGATTTACATTTCGACAACCTTATCGGTTTCAACACCCTCAAAACCATGAAAATGTCACCAATGACAAAAAAATTGATACTACTTACTTTTAGTACGTACTACTATTATTTATTCTGTGCTTTTAAAATATTGTAATAAAAAAATCTCTCATTATTATTATAATGAGATAAGAAATTTGGTTATTCGAATATTGTGTATTTATACAGCGATCTTTTTGAGCCGCTGCAAACAACCGAAACAATGTCCACTCACGACGGCGACTGACGCCGAATTGAGTGTGAGTGAGTGAGTAAAGTACTCTGTGGCTGTAGCTCACAATGTGGGAAAATAGATTGAGTTAAACAATTGATATTTTCAAAAGTTATCGTGTTTACAAGCCTAAGGACTTGATACATCCACACCATAAGCCACTGAAACCCCTTTTTTATTTAAAAATAGCAATTAATCGATTTAAAAAAAAAATAATAAGTTCAACAATCATTTATCTTTCTAACAATGTACTTTTTATATCATTTATATGTATAATATGATTGCTAGATACGATTTCATTAGATAGAACGTTGGAATCTTAATTTTTAGGCCATAGTAGAACATACCTTGCGCTTTCGCTTAAGGCATGCAATAGTCTTGATACAGTTTTAGAATGTACTTAAGTTTCAATCCAAATTTTCGAAAATATTAGGATTTTAGTCACTGACCAGTTTTCATTGCTCGCGAGTGTAAATGAAATATTTTTATCAAGATTATTGAATATATAAAATAGCGGTTAGCTTTGATTAGCGGTAGATTGCACATGTCGCGTTAGAAAATGGCAAAACGTATTGTATCGTTCCTGCTTCTAGCAACGCTTTTTTGCCAAGGTATTGTATGCACTTTTAATATTTTGCTATAATATCTACGTAGATATTTGAAAATTTTGTCAACTTTATATAACTTTGTACTTTCAGGTTACAGCGTAGATGAGATTTGGCTAGATGAGAGAAATGTAGATTATATCAGTGATGATTACTTGGGAACGTCCATTAGTATCCCAAAATTCGTGCTTGATACTTTAATAACATGCCAAATCAAATTTCCTAATGGTGCCATGTACGAGGCGTACCCCAACAATAAAATTCCATACAATAATATTTTCTTCATGAAGGCAGTTGAACCTTTTTTGGCATGCGCTGTTGGTTTCAGAGGTGTTGGTGTTGAGTCCAGTGGTACCTATGAATTACTATCTTACGTAAAGCATGTAAAAGATAATAGCACCTCACTGACACGACAAAGATTTAACTTAAAAGTCGCCCTCCCGGATTTAACAAAGTAGTTTATAGTATCTAGATTGAGCTCAAAGGAATGTAAATTAATATTCTACCGTTACTAAATCACCATAATAGTTAACAATTTAGAACTTTATTTAAAATTTATGTTTCTTTATTTTTTATTGAATATCAGTTTATTTTGCTTTACTGCTATTTCGTAAGATGGCTTTATTGTGGGAGCAAATGACATGGGTAAAACATGGGTTTTTAAAGTATATGTAATTTTACTAATAAAAATGCTCATTCCCAGTTTTTACTAGTTTCAAAGTATTGATTAATATTTCTTAAACGTGTATATAATTAAAACTATAATTATAAACGTAATTGTTATTATTATTACTAATATGTAATAATTGTTATCCCTTCTTCTTACATTACTTTACTGTGAGTATCAAAATTATTACAAAAATTACTCCTCTATTTGTTTGTATCAATTATATTGCAACAATAACAAATTGCAATGTTACTTAGATCTATATTTTCTATATAATTCCAAGTACAGCCCATCCAATTGTACATAAAATAACTCTGAATTTTAGTTTAATATCTCTGATATTAAGAAAAATTTATTTAAAGGTAATAAGAAGTCTCCAAGTATGAGTGTATGATTTGTTCATCTTAATCAACACAACGCGAGGCGTAACAAATCATACAACGTCAACACAAAACCTGCAAGTTTGATAAAAAAACAAAACCAACACGCACATTCTATAACTCCATCAGAAAAGAGAGGAGACCTGTGCCCAGCTTTGGGAAACTATATACTACATAGGCTGTAACTTTTCATCATTGTAATGATGTTCATGTAATTTATACTAACCTACTAAGTAAAATCAAATTAATTCAAAACAAAATGCTTGTGTGAAGCTTGCTCTAATTTGTTATTTATCTGCAAACTACGGAGGTTCGAAGTTGAATTGTCACTTGTCGTCATGTAAAATGAATCTTGAATAATGGAGTTAGAAACGCTTTTTGCAACGCTTAGACTAGGAATAGCAGTCAAACCATATTCTAAACGTAAATTCAGTCAAATGAAGCTGCTTGTGACTAAACGTTGTAGCCAGCCAGCATTATCTGCCGACTTCCAAAAAGGAGACGGTCCTCAATTATTCGACTGTATATTTTTTTATGTGTGTTACCTCATAACTTTTTACTGGGTGAACCGATTTCAATGATTCTGTTTTTGTTTGAAAGCGAGTACTTCTCGTGTATTCCCATATAAATTTGATTAAGGTCAGACCAATAGTTTTTGAGTTATTCTTGTTATTCTTAATAACTTATACAGTAATCGGCTGTACAAACTTTTTAGATAGAGAGATAAACTAAAGAAAAATTAAGGATTGCAAATAATATGTACGATGTGGTGACATATTCGTTATAAAACGTTCGAGGCTGGTCAATTAAGCTCTAGTTTTCTGATTCGCTAATAAAACACTTGCCTACAGATTGCACACCGGAATTACAGGAGGTTGAAACTCCTGGTAACTGATACCTAGCTTCAATTTTAATTTTTTATACTGTTGGAATTATTTTCTTTACTTTTTATCATTTTATACATATATCGTGTATTGACGTACATACTAATAAGCATGATCAATAAGCGAAGTGTAGGGGGACCCCCATTAGATGGAGAGACGACCTGATAAGACATTCAGAAGGTCGATGAATGCAGAAGGTCGATGGATGCACATGGCTCAGGACCGTGCTTTGTGGCATTCCTTGGGGGAAGCCTACGTTTTGCAGTGGACCTGTGAAGAGCTGTAATGATGATGATAATGATTTTTAAAGGAGAATGCCAGAATCTCTATAGAACTTAACATATGTTAATTTAATTAATGATACTGTATTGGACATCAGTTTACGATCCTAATAAAGAAAATCTTTGAATATAAACCAAATTTTTTGGTATTGTGTGAGAATAGTAATGCTTTAAGGATAATACTGCTTTAAAGAGCCTGTATAGCATATAACTCTGTCTTTCTATTTAGAATCTGGAAAGGGAGGAGACTGTCAAATTTATAACGGTTAAAACAATCTGCAGTTACGCCTGTGATGTATTTTCAACGATTTGACTAAAGTACAATGGAATTCTTAAACAAACAAAAATCAGAGAGAATACAAAAATGGAGACTTAATATTCAAATTCACGATCAAGCCAAAAAACATAAGATATTAGTGTGTAATAGGTATTTGTCTTAAAAGTACCTATGCTATTTAGATTTCATGAACGTTAAATGCCAGGACGAATCTCATTCGTTATTTCTTTTGTTGTGAATTTAGTTTCACTTATATTTTGTTTGATTAAATATTCACAGAGGAGGCGAAAATTGCATTCACCAATCATGGCCTTCAATTATTTCTAAAACGTAAGAAGTTTTGAATTTCCTTATCTATCGTGTTCGAAATTTTTATAAATTTGGTATTTAAATTTAACATAATTAATTTATATTTGTTACATTAAAAACAATCAAAGTTAATTATCCTAAATTCAAACAACATTTAAATCATAATATTGTATTACGCTTATTGTTACACCTTTGTCAAAATTTGTTCTCGTTAGCTGGAAAATAAGTGCGTAATATTTTGAATTTATTTTCATTGTAAATTGTAGGGTTATACTCGTGTCCCGTAAATTTAAATCATGACCCGGATATATTTTTAAGATAGCGTAATCTTAATACAACAGTTATAAATAACAGTATCAGAGAACAGTATCAACAGTTATAAATAAAAATGTACTAGTAAGAATACTTATGTTACTGTTAAACAAGTCTTATTAGTTAAACAATTCCTTATTTAATTTAAAATTTATCTTATTCTACCAAAGATTGTATGACAGTGAGAGTAAGGTGAAACATTCCAAAAAGTATTTGAAACAAAACTCAAATTAACAAATAAACTTAAAAAAGAAAAACAATATTTTGAAAGTGCGTGGTGGTTAACTGACTAATTACTCTGGTAAAGAATAAGACAGTTTATTTTATTTATCCGGGTTTTTGTATTTATAAATACAGAAAGCTGGATACAATTAGATTTAGCCGATTCCTGCTGGTATACTTAGCTGTATCAAAAGATGTATGTAATATAACTAATAACATTGTCGTTAATACTTCTAAGCTTAAATAGCTTGTGTTAACCGACATTCATCGAATAGTGGATTAGCATCCACGACTTAAATTGCACATGCACTAATATCCAGACCCCAAACAATTATTTTTAATCCGTACAATTAATTAAAGCGTGCTCAATTCGAACCCCCTGCCCGCAGCGCCACCTTCAAATACACAGCCTCTGAGCTATCACGTCGACTACTTAAATAAAATTCTCACACAAAACATTTGAGCGCATCTTCCTAAATTTAACAATCTGAGTATAACTATAATAATCAAGTGCCTACAGTGTAATTATCATTACACTTTACAAACATAGTTCATACATTACAATTACAATTATTTTGAGTTAATGCTCCGTAGTAAATGTAAAGTAGCTACAATTTGAACGCAGTATTGTGGTTTAGCACGAATATACGAAATTGGGTCATACCGCTATTGTGTCCCTTTTTGTTGAATGAACACTTTTGTGTATTACACCGTGTAGTTGATATATCTGAGCAGAAGGAGCAAATTTATTATCATTGCAATTTCTTAGTATTGTGTTAAGGTTTTAGCACGAACAAGTCGTGGCGACGGCGTAATCCACTACCCCGTATTATGATCCTGTTGGTGTCTTAAGAGGCGATAGAGGGAAAGAAAGCAGGAGATGGGCAGCAACGTCTTCTTAAAAACGCCTAAAAATAAAAAATAAACTGTGCTTTCTAACCAGCGTGCTAAGCGTGGCAACTATGGCAAATATTCCCCCAATAAGGCCATCTATGGTGAAGGTCTATGTTCAGCAGTGGACTTTAATATGCTGTAGCAGTAACGAATGGGTCGTCTCGTCCGGGGAAGGACTATGCTCTCAAGGAATACCAGCGAAAAATAGCAACTTTATGCTGCTTTGTTTCGTATGGTGCTTATAAAAAACCGGAGATCCTTTTTATTGGTAATGTGGCATTTTAACTTAGTTTGCAGAGTAACAACGAATGTGTATTTTTATTCTCATTCGAAGATTGAATGTAGATGTATATGGGACACAGCATCCACTTATCATCAGATGAACTGTGTGCTCGTTTGTCACCTCCATTCTATAAAATTAATGTCTATTAAATCGTGATCGATTAAAAAACCACATCTAATGTCATTATTGTCGTCATTTGAGTCCGTATAAATTCCATAATTGAACCTAAGGAATGCCATGTAACACGGTTTTATGTCACTTGCATCCATCGTATTCACACATCGACTCCAAAAGACGCAAAACGCAAATTCTACCTACAATGAGAGAGACCTATTTATAGAAATACCTAATAATACGTCATGTGATATACAGTAGAGCCATGGTAATCCGTACCCTGCCTAATCCGGTGGTCGCAGTAGTCCGGACGGGGCAGTCCTAGCGTCGTTAGTACTAAACTATAAAATTTGCGTCCATTTCCAAAATCTATGGAGAACAATATGTTCAATAAATTTAATTATTAGATGCTGCGTTGATTTTTTGTATGTTATTAAGTATATTGTTTATTTTATGTTTGTGTCTATTAACATAATTAACCTTTAAAAAGTAAAAAAATGCGTGAGTGTCGTGGAACACTCTGTTGAAACGAAGTCCCTTGCATAGTATATTATTATTAATAAACGTAGGTATTATATTATTGATTAACAAATACAAATAAATGAATTACTAGCGTCTATTAAAATGAAGCTTTATTTGAAATTAAGTAATATTTCTTTCATGGCCAGATAAGAAAAAGTGCGAGGGAGATGGACATTATTCCATCTCACTTCCTTATTTCGCCGCCAAGGCCTTCTACACTATGACACAAGGGGTAGTGACGAAAAAATCTTACACTTTTTGTCGCCTAGCTCCTATCCGCCAAAACCGCACCGTCCGATAAAGAACTTCGTTC